TGGATGGATGGATGGATGGTAACTCAATGAACTAAAAACTGCAGATATATTTTTTAAACATTAGATCATTTCTTCCTTCTCTTTTTTCAGATCTCTTTCATCTTCTGACAGATTGTTCAGCATATCCTGAGTCCCCTCCATGACTGTTTGAGATGCCATGGAAAGCCCATTAGAACTGACCACATTGAGGTTCCTCGTGGTTCGGACCATGACTCGGGAGCTGCAGCCTGCAGGAGATGATTCTGCAGCTCGTTACCGACTCCTGACTTTTCTGGCTGCTGTGGAAAGACAGATCCATGAGAGTGAGTCATCAGTGGGAGCATGTGTGCTGCTGATGCTGTAAAAGAAAAACAACAACTCTCCTTTTGTTCTTTTGGCAGCAAACAGAGAAAAGCCACCGAGAGTTCAACCAGCCGTCAGACAAGAACCAAACCAGATACTTCAGCCTTTCAAAGCTTTTCTATGATCCTGTATCTGCTGGTCTGAACAAAAACGTCGTTTAAATCCTAGATGTGTTTTAGAAATCGTGAAGGAACCAAAAGGCTCGATGAACAAATGGTGGTTCAACTCTTGACAACTAAAACAACATGTGGCCTTTAGTTGGCGGCTAATGGCTAAAACAGGATTATTGTCACGTTCTGTGAGGGTTTGGGACCGTGGATGGGTTCTATGTTGGTTTATTATTTTGTGCCTGTATAGTTCTGTTGTTCTAGGAAGAGAGTTTAGAACATCGGGGATCTCTTGATAAATCCCTGCTTGACAAAGTGTTCCCCTTTCCTCCCGGTTTCGCCGGCTCCAAATGATTCTCAATCCCCTGTGATCCAAGCGAGGATCGGCTGTCAAGGCTCACGCACGTCCACAGGCAGACCCTGTTAATCGATGCTAGATAAATGAGAATGGAAGGAAAAGACAGAGCCTCGTTCTTTATACAGATGGAGCAAAAATTATTCATTCATGCCTACAAGGACTACATCGATATCAGAACTAAACCAGAGGCCACAAGCTGTTTGATTAAAGCTGTGTAGGCGGAGCTATGTAGTTAGAATGCTCAGCATTTACATGTTTCCATGGCAACTTCAATGCTTGTTTCTCCAAATATTTTATTCAAGTTTTCATCATTCATCTCGTTTTCATGTTCTGCTCCAGAGTCTGGATGTTTAGAGACTGGAGGACCTTATTTCTGCTGAGCAGCTGTGGGTTTTAAGAAGATATGTTTGTGGTCACATGACCCTAAAGTTAATGCTGTAAACCCTTTAGCTCTCCTATTACTCGCATATTAGCGTGTCTGACTCGTGTGACCAGAGTAAATATATAGTCATACCAGTAAAATATTTCCTTTTACATGCATTATGGTAGAACTGTAAGCTAGTTTAAGGCTATTTTAGCATAAAGAGGACAGCATGTTAATGATACGGGTCCATCCCAGACTAAAGCTGATATATAATTAGACTTATTAATAATGCTGACATCAGAGGCAACATCAGTGGAATCAAACGAAGATTAAATACAACAAAGATGTAAATCCAGTTAGAGCTCGTGTTTGAAGTTTAAACTCCACATTTAGGAATAATTTGGCCATCAAGAACGAAGCTGCAGCGGCTGCTATCGCTGTGGGCCAGCGGTGGCGCTGATTCACCGTCTCGTAGCTGCTGACAAGAAAAGGTGACTTCACTTACCTCGTCCAGTCATATTCACCAAGCTTCTGCTAACCCAGAGCTGTAGAAAGATTTCTTGTCATTCCTTAACAACAAAATTGCAAATGCTGATATAAATCAAGTGGAAATGAGCAGTTTTATGGAAAATGTCTAATTTGTAAAAGTTTTTGTGTTCGACTACTGATCTTGAAATATCATAATTCTATTCTTATTACTTGAGTACAAAGTAAGGATTGTAAAATGTATTCTACTGAACATAATAAATCATCATTCAAAGCATGAACAGATACATATTTTCTTCAAGGTGAGCTGGAGCAGAATTCTAACTTTCAATAAACACTTTAAAATGGATATTACAACTCAAGTTTAGGGCTTCTTGTACGACTTAGTTATTAAATATGCTTATATTAGAGCAGTGTGTTGCATTACTACATCAAATTTATTTCTATATTATAGTAATGTATGTGGTCTAAATGTATTCTTCAATATGTTACGACTGTCGTGTTCCTGTAATGTGGAACAGGGTGTCTATCTTCCAACAAATGCTCGGAAAAATAAATAGGTTACTTTGTGAAGGAATTAGGACATGATATATAATATAATATATAATATTATTCAATAATTACCAAAAAAAATCGCCAGGGGAAATGTGACAATATTAAATGTTTGTGATTTGTTCCACTATACACCGTTCAAACGAACTTACGGCGCTGGGATGTGTGGTACTGTTGAGAGCTCCATGAACCACGCGACCTTCAGCTCACAGAGAAGTTTTGTTGCGTTCAGCAGCAGTGAGGTTATTTGTTTTTGTGGCTCTACAGTAGGAAAAAAAGATTTGTTTTGGCCTTTGCTGAAAACCTCATCGGTGAACCTCAGTGAGCTGCTGTTTCTGCACATTATAGAAACTTTGACAGGTTTGCTGTCTTGGAGCTGCGGCTGCAGCTGAAATGGGATTTTAATGGAGGGACATGACTAACAAATGGGAGAATGATCGAAAAGTTAATAAGACAGAGTTTTATAAGCTGTGAAGGCACATCAGACCTTTTCTACAACAACTTTTACAACACTGGAAAGTTTCACCTCCAGTGTTAACCAACAAACTGTAGACGTGTTGCAGTTACGCTGAAAGTCCGACCAGGGTCAGGATAAGAATCAGAATCAGGATCTGTATCGGGATCATAATCAGAATAATGATCAGAATGATAAATGATAAATGAGCCGCACTTGTATAGCGCCTCTCAGAGTAAGGACTCCAAAGCGCTTTACACTACAGTGTATCATTCATCCATTCACACACTGATGGTGATGAGCTACGATGTAGCCACAGCTGCCCTGGGGCGCACTGACAGAGGCGAGAATCAGGGTTAGGCATGTTTCATGTTCACGTGTGGGTTTTCATCCAGGTGATGTTTCCAAGTTGACCGACACCATCCCATTGGATGGAGCTCCTTGTTTCCTGGCATTGTCAAACCTAACGTGACATCATCTTCGACACCACAGATGAAGATGTGACCTCCAACATCTGTGAGCTGAGCTCATTCCTCATCTCATATTTGTATTACTCATCTGTTGATATGAAGCCTGAGAATTTGAGATGATTATCTGAGAACGGAGACAAAAAACCCAGATGACCCTGAGAGATCACTGTCCTCATGTTTAGATCATTGTTGTGGCTCTAAAACACTTTTAAAGCCATCTTAGATGTATTCCCTCTGATCTAACAGGGTCTGCTGGAGTCAAGGACCTGCTGAGAGATGATTTAAGCACTCAGATCAGGTGTGTTTGAGCAGAAATCATCTAAACATGCAGGATAGTGACAACGTCTCATTAAAAATCTCATTATGCCTACATGCAGCATCTTCTCCAACAGGAAGTACCGATAAATTCTTCTTATTTCCACTTACAGGAGCTGCCACATTGTTATTGGTGGATTCTTAGAACAGTTCAGTTCCGATCAGAACCATCTAAACCCAAATCTAATAATAATACGGGTAAGTATGTTGTTTGCCTGATAGATGCAGACACAATTCAGGTTCAGACAGCCTCACAGAAGACGTTTTGGTTCTTGATGCATCTGTCCACAAGAACAGGACCTCACCCAGAGACAAGAGGGCTGCTCTGTAGTAAATATGTCATCTTTCACCATTAAATGTCAGCAACTGTTCTCAGCTGCGGAGCTGGAAGTGAGTCCCGCTCCTCTGGAGTGTTTAGTGTTTTGTTGGGTTTTTAGATGTGGGACGGTTTTAAAGCTCCGAGTCACACGAACCAGATCCGAGGATCAGAACCCGCCTCTGATGATCAGAGCAGTCATCATGACACATTTGTATGAAGGAAGTCAAGTCAGTGGAACATTTTCTTCTGGAGTGAATTCATCTGATGCAACAATAACTTTTATAAAACTGGAAGCCGTCTGTGGAAACTCGCTCCCTTTCAGTCACAGCAGGGTCTGTGTGGTCCAGCTGGGATGTGAGTCTTCATCCCAGAACTTCTGAATGCCTCAAAAATTCCACAATGAACTGGGAAAACAGTGTTTTCTCAGATCTGGTTAGAAACTTCATCAAACAAACATCAGAAGCTCCAACGCCAAAACTACTGAAGAGACAAAGCGGCGCTATTATCTTCTCTGGGCTGGTTTTGTCTTTAATTATGAGTTCAAACTCAGATTTATGTTCCTCTAATTATGACCACATGAACTTTTGTTCCCTGGGTAAAAAGCAGCCGAGTCTTAAAACAACTAATGTTAAAAATATTAAAGTTGTCATGAGCTGTGTCTCCTCAGCCCACCTGTTGGTCGTCAGTAATCACCTGCTCCTCATTCGAGGCCACCTCCCCGCGATAATGTTCCTCCTATTTCTCTCCTGTGCACCTTTCTGGTGTCGTCACCTGCACCTGGGTCCAGAACCAACCTAAATCATGACTACAGTGTTTTATATGAGCAGTAAAAAGTGCAAATAATTATTATTTACATGGATTTAGTTGGTTGTAAACAGCTAGCTACCTTAGCACTTCCTGTTCTGAGGGAATCTCATGCAGGAAATCTCAAGTTTTTCACTGATGGTGGCTTTAAGGTTCATAAAGTTAGTTTCTGCATGAGCCTTTCAGCACCTGGTGGAGAACGTTTTTGTCCTGGTAGCTCATAGAAACATGTCCAAAGCTAGAAGACACATCTGGTCTCATCAGTTCATTATATTAAACCAACGGCAAAGATCCAATAATCTGACCCTTAAACATCCTAACAGCTCACATAAACCTGCTGGTTTCTCCTTGAACCAGTAAATAAACAGGATTTATTTTGAAGGTCTAAATCTGACCGCTCAAAGCAAAGAAATCAGTCAGTTGCTCAAGTTCATTAGAAAGTCTACTTCCTTTTATTTCCCACTTCCACACGTAAACTTCATGAAACCCAAAGGAAACGAGAACATTAAACCGTTTTACTTTACATTCTTTCTGACTTGGACGTTTTTCAGGAGGAAACAGATCGAGAAGTGCACTGAAACACCTGGGCAGGCAGGTGTGCAAACACACTCCTGATGTGGATTATTTAGAGATGTCAGGCTGAATTTCCACAGGGATCAAATACAATTTAAATCAAAGTTAAAATAACATGATGACTGCGTTTACTGATTTATCCACCATCTCAGTCCGATATATTCATATAAGTTTACTGCTGTCATAAAACAGCCCCTTTAAAACTTGTGTTACATCACGCTGCTGCACGTTTTTACTCCATTTGTAAAACAAACACACCAAATAGCACCAGGAAGATGAAACCATCCATGCAGCAAATCACAATTCTTTGATCTGGTTGTGAAAAAACAAAACAAACAAACAAACAAGCAAACAAATTAAAACTACTTCAAGACTTTGGGGGATAAAGTTCATGATTGTTGAGTCCAGTGCAGCCACCATTGCTTCTGCAATGCTTCCTTACAGTTTGGTTTTCCTAAAGAATTCCCCTAGAAACGGTTGGAATCTGGCCGTGTCCTATGTTTCCAGTGCGGGGACAATTCGCTGGTTGACTGGTGCTGAAGGGATGAGCGGAGGAGAGAAGGACATTTAGATTCTGCATCCCAAAAACAGCTCAGCTGGTTTCTTTATGTTAAATGCGGTTTTATTTTTGTTAGAAATGGTTCTAATAATTCATCAGAATTTTTTTTAATTTTTTTACTCGTAGATAGCTTCCTGAACAGCCTCTGTTCAGTGAAATAGAGTTCATGCTCTCTAGGATTGATAAGCTAACTGCTAGCATTCATCATGTTGCTGATTTCTCACCAGGAGACTGATGGATGGAAAAGAAACTCACCTGGTGTCCCACACGCCTTCTCACACTCCTCGTACGTGTCAAAGCGGTTCTGGTTGCCGCCACAGCCTCCGTACCAGAAACGGATGCAGTTCTTACTGGGAGCATCGTAGTGCCACTTCAGGACAAATTTGCCACACATTCCTTCATCTTTGGAAAGCTGACAAATGCCCACAGCTGTCAAAGACGCTGAAAGAAACACGAAAACGAGGTTGAATTCCTGAAAACATTCCCAGGTTCATACATACTTTATTTAGCTTCAAGTAATTTGGAAAAACTAAATCATGAAGATCCCAAATTAAAGCTAACATCAGCGGAAGCATCGACTTGAATCTGGATTTTTCTACGAATTTGGTCGTCTGGAGACAAACGGAGGAGGAGAACCAGGGCCCTGCAGAGACCTTTGAAGGGGCGGGTGCTCAAAGTTCAAAAGGGCCACATATAGAGCAAAGATTTTAAACAGATTCACGATCCAACAAGTTAAAAATTTAGATAGGGAGACCCTTGGTTTCAAACAACATAATGTAAACTAGGAAAAATATGTCATTAATTAAGGTAAAGTTATTTCATAAACAGTTGTTTTAGTTTTTAAAGCTGACTTATGTTACAACCACATTTTCCCCCTGATCTGAATCCAAGTTGTTTGATTTTTGATTATCTTCCAATACTGAGTCCTGTTCTGATACCAGGTGGTGATGCAATGCATTAAAAAAGAAGAAAAAAATGGAGAAAGTCCCATAGTCATCATCACAAAATGGTGATCTCATTGGAGGGGAGCGGTGAGCTGCAGCAGTGGTTGGTGATTAAGGTGGATTTTCTTTGTGGCGTTTCCATAATGTTATAAAATTTGCTGATGCAGATGATCAGTTATCTCCTCCGTTTCGTTCTCCGCTCTCCCGTCGCGGTTCGCTCCGTTTCCTGTGATGCCGAAAAGCCAGTTTCCCTCTAATAGGGATTTTCGGAATAACATGAATTACATTGTGTAATACCTCGTTGGAAAGCTTGTTTCATGTGCTTTTAGAAACCGTTTGAGTTATTTTAACTCGATCAGCCATTCAGAAGTTATGATGCGGAGAATCTCGTGTGCTCTTTTCTGTCTCAGACATGCTGACTCTGCTCTACATGCACTAACCACGGACTCAAATGTTAATGTAAACAAAAGCTCTGATATTAAAATCCATCACCGGTTTCAGTCGTCTCCATGGCGAGATTTAGAGCGAAAGCAGGGACACCAATCACACGTTGGCATGACGCGGCAGAGCTAATCAGTGAGCTTGTGGGTGGGTCTAAGGGTTCAGCTTGAGGAGCTGCCTCCACATGGTCCTAGTGCCTATCCTGTATCCAAGTATGACAGTTTTGGACAGTAAAATGTGACGGAAGACCGAAAAACGGGCACTTCGGACAAAAGGGGCAGGTGCGCAAGCACCCCCCTCCCCCTCCCCCCTGCACGCGCCTGAGGAGAACAGAAACTTTATTTTTTCCATGTGTGTGATGGGACAGACAGATCTGGTCTGGTCCCATCTCAGTGAAGAGGCAGGTGGCGCACATTAGACGGATAACAGGGCGGGGCGAGCCACCCAATAAAAGGCAGCTGTCTGCTCCTCCAGCAGGACAGCTCTTGTGTGACACCTCAGGTGCTGGTGTGTGTTGGGACTCCAACTACAAGCAGCGATAGTACTCTCCCTCCTGTGTTTCTTGTGCGGCATTAGCTAATACTCGTTGCTCCATCTTAATGCGTTTGGTATCGTGTGATCGCAGACTGGATCACTGTGGATATGCTGTTACAGCGTTAAACTGCACCCAGGTACTCCTAATCAGATCTCTGCCTGTGTGTGTGGCAGCCGTATTTAGGCTGATCTGACTCAGCCGTGCTACAACCGTAAGTCTTTGCCTCTGATTGGGGAGGGTTGTACTGATCCAGGGGGACTGTCTTGTCTCTCGCCGGTGCTCACTAGTCCCGAAGAAAGGAGACAACGCTGCTCGTGTAACTTGTGCTGGAAGCCATTTTTATTTTCTCTCTCGCGCCAACCCCTCAACCCCCTTAGAGGGCGCTCTCGGCTAGCATGTTATTACAGCCACCACCATAACATCCCTCTTTCTAAGAATATAACATTACCTCAAAGCTGAACTCTGGAAACTATCGCTTGTTACATTGACATATGTGTATATGGCTATAATAAACTTTGTAACACACTTTTCTCTCAACACCCACAATCATTTATTTGAACGTATCTCACAAACTAGTTATGAAGGTAGGGTAGACTTCCCATTCCTTCCACTGAGTGAGGGGATTATTATGCCCCAGGCTGGTCATTCAGTTGTCCAAAGCTACATTCTACCTAACAACAAAGTCTTTAAAGTACCTCGGAGGATTCCGGTCTACCCCCGGCATGTGAACCAGGTGTAGGGTTGGCTTCAGGCAGAACAGTACCCAACTCGTCCTCTGGACCAGTCTTAAGTCCCCTTTAAAGGAACCAGATGACTCCTGTTCCGTCGTAAGACTCCACTTGGCGCCTGGACCAGATAAGAACGTGGAGCGTCTGTTCTGGCCGTAACAGTCCCACTTTCTATCAGGTCCGTAATCCAAACCTGGTCCCCTAGATGAAGACCCGGGAGATTGCGGGCTCGATGTCTGTGGTTGAACCATCTCCCCTTTTTCTCTCTCTCTTTCCGTTCTCTCTCTCTCAAAGAGCCGATATCAGGCCATCTTGGCCCGAGGCAGGATGGGAGAATTAGCACAGTCGTCCGAAGTTGTCTTCCCATCTGGAGCTTGGCAGGGCTGTGACCATTGGCTAGCGGTGTGGCCCTGTATGCCAAAAGTGCAAGGTATGGATCGCTCTCTTTCTGCAGGAGGTTTTTTACCGTCCTCACGGCTCGCTCTGCCTCTCCGTTGCTCTGAGGAAACCTTGGACTAGAGGTGGAATGGACAAAGCCCCACTTGGAAGCAAACTTCTGGAAGCACTCTGATGAGAACTGTGGTCCATTGTCACTCCGAACCTCTCCTGGAATGCCATGTCTCGCGAACATAGACTTCATGCGTTCGACCACTAAGAGAGACGTAGAATGTTTGAGCTTAGCTACTTCTATAAATCTGCTGAAATAGTCCACCACCAACAGGTACTGGTTATCCTTCCAGCAGAACAAATCAGCTCCCACCAACTCCCACGGACATGTCGGGAAAGGAGTGGGCATAAGCGTTTCTCTGTGCAACTGCCTCTCCTTCGCACACACATCACATCCTAGCACAAGCTCCTGCAGTTGTGCACGGAGTCCTGGCCACCACACTGACTGCTTGGCTCTCGCCCAGGACTTGGCGATGCCCTGGTGTCCTGTGTGCAGTCTGTCCAAAATGTCTTGTTGCAGTGCCTTGGGAATGACTATTCGCGTCCCCTTCAGTAACAAATTATTGTCCACTGTGAGGTCCCCTATATGTTGATGATAAGGAAAACACATTCCTGGAACCTTGTGTTTATCCGGCCAGCCGGTCCGATAAAATTCTTTCACCAGTTTCAAGTTTCATGTTCGGGGGCGGATGAAATGCTGAAACAAAGCCTGTTAAAACAGAATCTCCCGAATGGTGCAATGAACGTCGTTAGTAGTGCCGATTCTCTTGACATCGGAATTTGCCAGAATCCTGAGTTCGCGGTGTGTTCTGAGAAGATCTTTGCGCCTTGAAGCTGACCCAACGTATGTTTGACTGATGGTAGCATGTGGTGCTCCTGCTTGACTGAGTTATTCAGTTTCGTCAGGTCGACACACACGCGTACCTCGTTCTCGGCTTGCTTCAGAATCGGAACCATTCCGGCACACCAATCTGTAGGCTGTTCCACTCTGGAAATCACCCCCAACTCCTCCATGTGAGTTAACTCTCTCTTAACTTTTGGTAGCAGAGGTAGTGGAATACGTCGGGGTGCTGTCAACGCGAATGGTTTGGCATCTTCCTTGAGTTCGATCTTGTACTCCCCCTCCATTTTGCCTAAACCACTGAACAGTTTTGGAAAGCGTTGCTTCACTGCTTCTACCGACGTAAGTGACACTGCCTCTACTCTAGCCACTAACCCTAAGACTACGCTTGCAGGGCGGCTGAGTAAACCCTGTGTCAGGCCCGAAACTACATACACAGACTGAACTGAGGACTTTTTCCCAGTGCTTATGTTAGCTTCAAACTTCTCTTTCACTACTAGCTGTGACATTCCTGCTCCATATAGTTTCAGTTTGGTCGGCTGTAGCTGCGGCCTCTGTGCTAACGCATAGAAATTCTTTGGGAGGACTGTGACATCTGCTCCTGTGTCTATTTTAAGCATACAGTCTAGATCGTTTACTTTAACGGAAGTGATCCAAGCATCCTCTGACTGATATGAAGCTACCGAGCCTAAAAATGCGACTTCACCCTTGCTGTTGTCATCAAGGCCTGCAGCTCTGATTTCTCTGACTGCCCCTGACCTACACACTCGAGCATAGTGTCCTTTTTTCTTGCATACATTGCAGATTACTTACCTGGCTGGGCACGTGTCTACTATGATAGGGTGTTTTACCACATCTGTTGCATCGTTGTGTATCACGTCCCCGTGTCCTTGTTTCATCAACTTCACTGGTTTGTGGAACGTTTTTGCAAACGGTTTCTTTTCGACTTTGATGCTATCCACATTGCAGGGGTTTTCCTGTTTGAAGTTATTTTTCATAAGGTCCTGCTGTTTCCTCACCGGTTCACTTTGACGGATCCTCGTGATCGCCTTGTCCAACGTGAGATCCGCATCCATCTGTAGTGACTCAGAAAGCTGCTTGTCCCTTATCCCGACTACCAGTCGGTCTGTAATCATTTCGCTGTGCAATGTCCTGTAACCACAGTGCTCCGCTAGGGCATACAGTGATGTAATAAAGCAGTCTGCTGTCTCTCCCAGTTCTTGTTGTCTTTGGTTAAACTTAGCGTGTTCAAAAATAACGTTTCCTCTCACCACAAAATGTTCCTCCAGCTTGGCAACCGTTGTGTCATAGATGTTCGCCTCCTCTACTGTCATGTTTAATGATGTGAGCACATCCTTGGCTTCTTCCCCCATTGTGTAGATCAACGTGTTCACTTGGTTTTCTTCTGGCTGTAACTCGATTCCAGAGGCAATCCTGAACCTTTCGAAATGTTTAATCCACTTCGGCCACTCTTCTGGCTTCTTGAAATCAAACTTCGGTGGCAGCGCAACCTGAAACGCCATTAGGCCCGCTGCGGACATATTGTTTCGTGCTAAAGCTAACTGGTGCAGCTAACTACTTATTAGCTCCCGTTCGCTTCGCACTCCAAGCTCTTCCCTTGAAGACAACGCGAGTACCTCCGATCAGCAAGAACAAACCCTCTCGCTACTCCGGCCGACTTCTGACACCATGTCTTGTCTCTCGCCGATGCTCACTAGTCCCGAAGAAAGGAGACGACGCTGCTCGTGTAACTTATTCTGGAAGCCATTTTTATTTTCTCTCTCGCGCTAACCCCTCAAACCCTTTAGAGGTCGCTCTTGGCTACCATGTTATTACAGCCACCACCATAACAGGGAACATGCCTTTTTTTTTTTTTTTTTTTTTTGCAGTGTGGCTGCCCATCTGTGTGTCGAGAGTCGCTATTCCATTCAGCTTTGCCCGCAGTGATGCCACCCAGAGTAGCGGAGCATTTGACGGTATCGGCGGCGCACTGGCCCTCCTGCTGCTCCATCTCGCCATCCCGCCGTGACCAATCTCATCTCCAGAGCCGGTTGTGGGCCCAGAGGACTCTTCACTGCTGTTCTGTCTGTATGGATTTGTTTCGCCTACAGTGATTGGTGTTAATTAGTTGTCGGGCGTCGGGCGCCTGGTTGACGGGGCAACCACCAGAACGCTCACAGGGTTGAAAGCATGCATCCCGATTTTGTCTATGTATGACTGTATTTTTTATATGTTTTATTATTAGTTGGTGTGTTTGGTGTGTCTAAGCTTAGTCGGTTTAACTTCCTCCAGCATTTGTTGGCCCTAGGCTAACGTGGTTAATTCCTGTGAACGAACTGGGAATAATTGAACTCCAAGCCCGTAAACTCCACCTGTATGGGTGTTAGCTTAGATTTTTAATAAAGATTTGTTTATCTGAAAGAAACCATCTGTTCCCATTGTGATTTCCTTAACCTACGGGCCTTCTTCCCTTCCCTGGGGGGTGGGGGGGTTAACCCAGGGTGGCGTTGCTACAATATTTTTATCCTTAATTCATTTATTCCGCTATGTCTTTCTTGCCACATGTGGATTTATTATTTATGTTTGCTCTCTCACAAAGGTTAGTTAAGACTCAGAGGCCTCACCCGGAGATGGAACGATCTCCACCTGCTGCATCTGCTGCTCCTCCAGATCAGGCTCCACTGCTGCAACACCACGAAACAAGAGTGTTAGATTATATCGGAAGAGCAGACGTTCATTTAGGAGAAAGTAAAGATGAAGACTAAATCTTCCTGGAAGCTCCGATGGAAAACGTTTTCCGTCTGACGTTTGTAGCAGACTTGTAATTCCAGGACAAAACAGAAATGTTCTTTTGGGAAATGAGAAGTTATTTTTTATACATCTTAGCAAGCTGTTTTTCTTATGGTTCAATGAACATTTAACCCCACACATAAATAAATATTAGCGCCATGGATTCAATGTGAATCCACCACGGTGAACGGACACTCCTGCAGAATTCCCAGCAACAACTCACCTGACTTCACGCAGTTTTTCAAGCAACCAGCTTCTGTGTCGAACCTATTTTCATTTCCTCCACAACCTCCATACCAGAACTCAGCACAGAACCCATTTTTCCTGTCAAAGAACCACTTAGCCTGATAGGCTTTGCACGGCAATCCGGGATCATAGTCAAGAGAGCACGGGTCTGCAAGTTGGTTAGCTAGAACATGCAAGAACAGCATAAAACACAGAAGAAGAGATGGGACGAAGAACAGACAGGGAGAGAGTCTGGGTTAGGATTTAACGGAGATATAAACAAATAAACAAGCAGTTAAATGTGTTTTATTGTTTTTTATAACTGAATCATCCTGTGAAGAGAGAAAAAACAGCTCTGAATGTGAGGTTTGAGGAAAACGGCATCATTTTAAAAGCATTAAAATTCAAACTGCCAGCAGCGTGAAAGTGGATTAATTCTGAGTTTCTGTGAGGAAGTTGAGACGTTAGAGACCACAGCTGTTAGTTAGTCATCAGTGATGTGGTCTAGAGGAGAATTGAAACATTTACGGACTTTTGTTTGGGATCAAACAGAAATTCACCAGATTTAATGTTCTAATTTCCATGGGAATGTTTTGTTATTATTCCTAAGTATAGATGCTCTATAGCTGTGAAAGGAGGCAGATTTCAGCCCAAGTCAGATCAGATTTCCTCTAAAACAATAACGTTTGTTATTTTAATCCATCAGTAGTGTTGGGATGCTTTTACTGCATCTGCCTGGTTGGTCGCAGACTAAATATATTTTCAGCAAAAGCACTAAATAACCTTTGCTGCTGTTTTGTTTTCAGTCCAGAGTTTATTTTTTCTGAAACTGAACTAAATACTGCTAATAACTGATGATGTTTCTCAACACTCAGACGAGCGCTGCCTGCAGAGATGCTCACCGGTCTCCGGTGTCTCCAGTGGTGAGGTGTTTACGGTGCTGCTGCCGGGACTTGATGCTTCTGTCGGATAAAACACACTAGTTGACGTTTGTCATTAATGACTAAATAAACAACGAGGTAAATTATTTTCGGTCTGTTCTGCATCATTTGCTCGTCACTTACTGGTTTTCATTATTCCTTTGCGCGTGGAGACGATCTGGCCCTCGGCCGTGTGGGCCGTGACCACAACGTGGTAAGTCTGAGAACTTTCCAGGTTGTCCAAAGAGATCTCTGTGCCTGAAACGTTGGACTTCAGGACTAGAGCGTGATCCTGCAGGCGAGTCACAACTACCTCAAAGTAGACGAAGAGTTTGGGGTCAGCGTTGCTCCAACGCAGCTTCAGACTGTTGGAGGTGACGTTGGAGACGTGCAGCTCGTCTGCGTCTGAAAGGTAGAACACACAGTGTTACTGTTAAAGCTGCTGCCAGTGGCTAATAAGGGTCACCATGGTAACTGCACAATTGAAAATGAGCCTCAAACAAACAGCTGATGTGCAAAAAAATCAGTTGTATCTAAAAAACATCCTGAACCAGCAAAAAAGACCTTTA